TGTAAGAGTAAAAGTAATAAATATCCAATGAACAGGATGAACACAATAAAAAGTTCTCAGCATGGTAATTGAAATATATGAAGAAAATTCAAGCCTATATTTTTTAATAGATGCTGTAGACATTTTAATAACTTTTGCCCCACCACAAAAAATTACCCTGGCCCACCAATGAGTGTGTACATGCTGATTTTATCGATCATGCAATTTGTTGAAGAAAGCCGATCTCTCAATTATTCAATATGCATGTGGAACTAAATATTGGAAAAACAGTAAATTATAGAAAAGAAAAGAATTCTTTTCTTATGCACTGTTTCAATACGTTGGAGTCATGCATCGGATGGCGTCCTATCTACCTGCATCAAAAGGTAGACTATCGACGTAAAGATTCTTTGATATAATTACAAAAAATATATCAAAATCTAGACAAGAGCTATAGGCATTTAGAACCCAATCATAATAATAAACTGATGTTTGTTATTCTTGTATTTTCAAGAAACTTTTAATCTCTTTTTTCCTGTTAGTTTCTAACAACATAGAGAATGAACTGTCTAGTGTAAAAAAAAAAGTGATAAGTGACTTTGTACCAACACTTTGTCTAGAAAAACAGTACACGATAGATAAATTAGACCACCTTCATTTTTGAGAAGAATTCTAAACAGGAGTAAATCATAGACAAATTATTTTTGCACCAGATAAAAAGCATTAGGAGACTATTCGAATAGTGAATTTAGAAAGTTTTTACAAAATTAAATTTTTTCATGTACCAAATTTAAATAGTTTTGATAATACAAACGTCCATATGGTTAATGTTAACTGGCAAAGAGTTCAGCAGCGCTTTCTAAAATTGTACGGATATCTTTGAAAGACTTTTGTGACACTATAATGTTTTAAATTCATCGGTAGATAACTGTCCGATTGACAATCAGTTGCCACGTGTGTCCAATGTTATTCACATCACTTTATCGATTAAGAATGCATCATAGAATCGAATATTTTTAAAAATTCTATTTTTATAAACGATGATAACAATCTATATCGATAAATGATTTACACGATTTACTTGACATTGATTGTTTTTCGATTTTAATTGTTTTTTTAGCGAAAAAATATTATTTTCGTTGCAGGCGATTTACTTGACGTTGATCAAATAATGGATTCGAATTAGTCTATTTTTTCTATGAGTATTTACTTTCCGTTGATTGCTTAGACGTAAAGAAATAAGAAGGTGCATTATCAATGTGTCGTAAGAACAAATTCGAAATAATTTCTAATCGGAAAGAATATTCATCAATAAACGAACGATAAATATGAGTGATGCTCATTAATTTGGTGACTAAAATGGTTGTGAACATAATAAAACATGTAAACTCTCCACATCCAAACATTTTCATAGCCATTGACTTACTGCAAAAGGAGCACGTGATAGCATCGATTGCAAGAGTACGAGATGATGTGGGCGCTCCAACTCCAAAACGTCGAAAAAATAAAGTTGTAACAGATGAATGTTTAATGAAATTGTGGAAACGTTATGATGAAGGTCGTATTGATATTCCATCATTCCGCAAAGCTGCAGGACTGAGATATTTTAAACGCTCATCAAAAAGTTAAGCAGCTATTTCTCATTGTTCTTTTGTTTCTTACTATATACGTATATTTGTTTGTTTGTTTTTTTGTTCTAATAATACATTGGCTGTCGTAATAATTGCTCATTTCTTTACGTCTAAGCAATCAACAGAAAGTAAATTCTCATAGAAAAAATAGACTAATTCGAATCCGTTTTTATTTGACCAACGTCAAGTAAATCGTCTGCAACGAAAATAATATTTTTTCGCTAAAAAAGCAATTAAAATCGAAAAACAATCAATGTCAAGTAAGTCCGTGTCAAGCAAATCGTGCACACGATTGAGTTGTGATGAGCACCACTCATCTAAACTAATTTGGTCACCATCTATCAATTATGCAATACATAGGATAATGATTCACACATAAGAAACTTATCATGAACTAATAAACAAATTCTGTAAAGCAATGTGATATCCCAAACAATGAATATCAAAACATTGAATGTTACCGAGACATTTGACGAAGCTAATGAGATGTTATAGCTGTACCAAAATATTGGAATAGAATTAAGTTATGAAGATTAGTCTGAGCGTTTCAACTTTAAACATCTATACCCACAAATCGTCAATCAGATATTTACTCACATCGGGCGCTCAATTGTTTTTAATTGATGATGTTGAAAACACAATTTTTTCATTGAAAATAACGATCAGCCTTTGTTCTCTTTTAATACTGATGAGAAATATGACAGTTTACACTCCCGGTTTTGTTGTTAAAAAAAATAGAAGAAACATAGCTGATGCCTTTGAGACATCAAAATTTTTATAAATACATTGAATTTATTGTAGAAGAGTAACTAAAACTTCACAAAAAACGATGTGGATATATGGTAGCGATCAAAGAAAAACCTAGTTCAAGCTACTGTTTAAACCATTTCGGTAGTAATCCAAGGGGAAAATGTGTCCTCACACGACTTGTTTTTTTTGTTTGTTTTAATTCCAATCTTTGAAATAGTTTGAATAAGAAGAAAAAAAAATGTTGCTTAATAGATATCATGTATTTCAAAAGTTACTATCTATTATATACATGAATTCTAGCAATTTAATGATGGCTTAAATTTCTTGTATAGAATAGTGACTAACTATACAAAAATGAAATGTAGTCACGCTTATTTTCCTTTTCAACTTTTCGTTTGTGTTATAAACACGTTGAAAAAGTCAGCAGAATGTTTATACTTATCTGTACTTGTATTGGTGAGAGCAAATGACGTCAAATATTAGACGCCCTTGTTTGTTTTCTTGCGTTGTATGTATCCTTCTAGTTCATAGGCGTGCCATACTTTGCGTAAAGTCTTTGATCGACAATCAGACACATATTCACGTTAGTGTTGTTTTTAGATGATGATTCGAATAATGCCCTTAGAAGAACTGAACATGGCAAATTCAATTATATTAAAGTCACTAGACTATTAGGGTGGCATGAAAAACGAAAGAAGAAATTAATTGATAGCAAATTGATTACGGACACTATCAGTTGTTAGTTGAGTTTTAAGTTTTACGTTATACTTCATTGATTTATTGAAAATGTTTTCTATAGGCTATCAGTATGACATGTTTTAGAAACATGATGAAAGTGATATGAGAATTGTTATGGTAGATTTATTTCTTAAGTGAATATTGAATTTAAAAGTACAATTGGACGAAGATGACTCTTTAGATTTCGTCCTGAACAAAACGTCATACGAACGTTTAGAACAAGAAAACAGATAGTTGGTGGTTTACTGTATGCGAGAAGAACTAGTACAAAAAGCAAAAGGTAACCATATGTCGTGCGTGTGGTTGCATACGGCTCTTGCTGATTAGTTATTAGCGATATGAACTGGAAAGCTACACAAATGAAATGAAATTACAGTGCTTCAAGTGCATAATTTGTTGTATTTCTGATCGTATATATTTATGCATCGTAGTTTCACTTTTTCACTTTTCATATCTATTTCAGTATATATTATCATTTTATGTGATGGTGAGTAATGAAAATTCAGAATCTTGTTTTGACGTTATTGTATTCGTACTCACAATCTCAACAAATCATGGTGAAACTCAGCAAAAAAATAACAAACCCAAGAACTCTCTCAATTTGGTTTTAGAAAATATTCATCTCTTATTTTCAATAAATATGCTCTCGATATTGGATCTTTATAGACATTAAGCAACTAGAAGCATACATGATAATGATTGTCATTACTCACTAGACAGAAATAAGGCCGAAAAAAAAGTAACCTCCAACTATTCAAGTGTGAATCGAGACAATGTTTTGAAAAAGCAACATAAATAGATGCTGAAGTATATTCAAGACACCATCTGACGATAAATGAAAACGTTTGTCTTTTAACGCTTCTTTCTATTGCTTCGGATATCATTAAGCTCGTACAATTTGTATCAGCTTATATATAGATGCAAAGCTACTGTAACCATCAGAATAGCTAACTGACCTAAGGAAAGCAAAGGTACGGAAAAAGTTTATTTTTAATCTTTGAAAAGTAAACACTCATGAAGACATCTTACTGTATAAATTCGTCCATAACAAATATTCATCGACTATCAACACTCTTCATCACAAATAAACCATCTATGTCTAATATGTCTAATAGATACTCGTAATCAATATGTTACTACCTTTTTCCCTCAGTTTTTTTCTTGCAATCACTTGAAAAAAAATCCATTCCTTGATCTATTATTCAAACAAATCCTATAGATTTATAAGATATTTTTAAAAAAAAATGGCAGACGAACAGCCAAAATCTACATATGTGATTTTGCCGGAAAATCCAATAAAAAACCTAACGGTTGCAGAAATGTATGATAAAGAAAAATACGACTTATCAACAATGGAAGAAGGTGATGTATTTACCATGCTTAAGTGAGTACCAATATCTTATAAAGTGACAACTTCTTCAACAGAAAAAGTTCTGCTAAAACTTTAGTGCGACAAGAAATGGTTTAACCGAACAAGAAGTGAACGAACGCTTTCAGAAGGTAAACTAGCTTTTCTTTACTGTTTCATTTTACATCGTGTTTTACAGTTTGGTCATAATCGACTTGAACATAAAGAAACAAGTGCCATCATGCAATTTCTTCTCTTCATGTGGAATCCACTTTCCTGGGTGATGGAAGCAGCAGCTATTGTCGCTATTGTTGCTTCCAACGGTGGTGGACAACCTCCCGATTGGGAAGACTTTGTTGGAATCATTCTTCTTCTTCTTGCTAACTCAATTATTGGTTTTGTTGAACAACGTAATGCTGGCAATGCTGTTAAAGCGCTCATGGCATCATTAGCACCCGAAGCAAAAGTCAAACGAAATGGTGAATGGAAAGTTATAGACGCAGCTGACCTTGTTCCTGGTGATATCATCAGTGTCAAACTTGGAGATGTGATACCAGCTGATGCACGTTTAGTTGGTAAGTCATCTCGTTTTCTTTCTATTTTCATGACAACCACTTTTATGCAACATATTCCATTTTCAAACTTTTAGCTGCACATGGCGGAGTCTCAATTGATCAAGCAGCATTAACGGGCGAATCACTTCCTGTTAATAAAGTCGCTGGAGATGAAATATTTTCGGGTTCAACTTGTAAACAAGGCGAGGCAGAAGCGATCGGTAGCGATGCATTTCATTCTAGTTCGGTTATACATTTTCGCTTTTAGTTATTGGCACTGGCCTAAATACATTTTTCGGACGAGCCGCTAAATTAGTTGGAAGCGCTAGTGATGAAATCGGTCATTTACAGACGATTCTTGCAAAAATTGGTAATTTTTGTATTATTGGTATAGTTATATTTCTAGTTGCAGAAATTCTTGTCATGTAGTATGTATTCATAAACACAAAAATACAGAAAGAATCACTTTCTAGGATCCTAACTTTCATTCATATTTTTAGTGCTGGTTTTCGTTACGAATATCGACGTGGTATTAATAACTTGTTAGTCCT